TAAAAGTCATTTTGTTTATCTTTTGAAATTTGAATTGTAAACAACTTTATTATATAAATTTACTAGTTATTGTTTGTGCGTGAAGGTACAGAGTAATAAAAAATGGTAAACAATAAAAATCAAATCACAAACATAAAGAAGAGATAAAAGAATTTAAACATCGGTTTGTAGTGAGGGTGAGAGGTGGTGGTGGTAAGAGACAGTAATGGTTGTGGTGGGTGACAATGATCGTGGTGGCGTTAAGGGCGGCGACGGTGGCGGCAATAGGGGTGGTGGTGGAGGCGACGGCGGTAGCGGCAGTGGTGGTGGCAACGACGGTGGTGGTGGCGACGGTAGCAGTGGTGGTGGTGGTGGTGGTGGTGGCGACAGTGGTAAGACGATTTCAAACACTATTTTTGTTTAAAATATTTATGAGCTAATTTTTAAAATTACTTTTAAAAAGTCACTCTAAACACATTCTTAGGAGCATATTTTTCTTATTAAATTTAGGGTGTTAATATTAGCCGTTAAATTAACTTTAAAGTAAAATTTAAAGTGATTTCAACCGCAAATAGTAAAAGTCATTTTGTTTATCTTTTGAAATTTGAATTATAAGCTACTTTATTATATAGATGTGTTTCATATTCATTTTTTCTAGATCTTNAGGGGTGGTGGTGGAGGCGACGGCGGTAGCGGCAGTGGTGGTGGCAACGACGGTGGTGGTGGCGACGGTAGCAGTGGTGGTGGTGGTGGTGGTGGTGGCGACAGTGGTAAGACGATTTCAAACACTATTTTTGTTTAAAATATTTATGAGCTAATTTTTAAAATTACTTTTAAAAAGTCACTCTAAACACATTCTTAGGAGCATATTTTTCTTATTAAATTTAGGGTGTTAATATTAGCCGTTAAATTAACTTTAAAGTAAAATTTAAAGTGATTTCAACCGCAAATAGTAAAAATCATTTTGTTTATCTTTTGAAATTTGAATTATAAGCTACTTTATTATATAGATGTGTTTCATATTCATTTTTTCTAGATCTCCTTATATATTCAATAATACCATCAAAATGATAGAATCGTAATACTTCAGGTTGGATAGTTTTTTTTTTTTTTTTAAGAAAAGAGAAAAATTTTATTGAATGAAACAAAGAATTACAACAATCAACCAAATGAAAAAATTCAAAATACATCCAAGGCTTTAGCCCTTCAAAATTCCTTAGAACCAAATTTTACTACTTCCAAGAAACCAATCTCCAGCCAAGAAAAAACAGAGGCAGCAAACCTCTGCATTCTTGCAGCAGGCAGTAGAGTCTGATTCCACAGCAGCAGCATTCTTCCAGTATTAATCCACTTCATACCTGCTGACCACCAATCACAGTCTTCTTCATCCTTGCAACAGGCATTCCAGACTGGTCCTGCTGTAAAAGCAGGCTTCCAGCCAATGGCAGAATACCACTGACTGAAAAATCAACATAAAGTCCAGCTTGAACAGCAAAAGAAGCCAGAAAATCAGCAATTACATTCGCTTCCCTATAAACTTGCCTTAACTGGAACTGAAGCTTACCAAGCTCCCTCCAAATCTGCTCCAATATTCCTTTAAGTCTCCAAGGAACTTCTGCCTTCCCCCTAACCATCTGGACCAGCACTTGAGAATCAGACTCAATGCAGAAATTATAATCCTCCAATCCATACTGTCTGATTAATTTCAAACCATCCAAGAGAGCTAAACACTCAGCTCTCATGTTGGAACCTTCACCATAGTAAGCAGCAGCAGCCAAAACCACATGCCCCTTCAAATACCTCACAACCATCCCACCTCCAGACAAACCACTACTCCCTTTGGAAGCACCCAAGGATCAAAATTTCGTTTCGAAGTACCGTTTCGGTCAACTCAAAAATAGAAACGTTTCGGAAACATTTCGGAAACGCAGAAAAAATATAGAAACGCATAGAAACACAAATACAATCCATTAATTTATAAAAATATGCTAAATAATTGATTAATTCAATATATTTATTAGGTTAACATCAATTTATACAAGAATAAATTTAAATTTGAGGGAAAAAAATGCTTGACATGAGGCGAAAGTCACTTAAATTAGTTTCAAACACTTAATTTTTATGAAATAAACACATTTTTACATAATATTAAGGTCTTATAATACACATGAAATGCTAATGAGTACATACTTACATGGTTACATCCATCCCCCTGTGGAGTGTCGAGCAGGCTCATACATCGGTGTAGGCTCTGGGTAGCTACTTAGAGAAACTCCATATGTGACATAAATATGATGACAATAGTTACTCCAAATCATATTATTACGGTAATATAATCCAATTAATAATACTATTTTATTATAATACTAATAATGAAGGGTATCAAATTAAATTAATGATACTTATGTATACTTAAAAATTAAATGTAATTGCAGTGGGTATTAAATGTAATTATAGTAGGTATTAAATATAATTACATTAGGGTATTAAATGTAATTGTTAATACTTATAACAAAAAAAAAAGCAAAAAACTTGCACAGCAGTGAGGTATTAAATATAATTACAGTATGTATTAAATATAATTATAATGGGTATTAAATATAATTATAGTAGGGTATTAAGTGTAATTATTTATTCTTATAACAAAAAAATTATAAAAGACAGAAGAGCAGTGGGAATTAAATGTAATTATAGTGGGATATTAAATATAATTATAGTGAGTATTAAATGTAATTACAGTGGGTATTAAATGTAATTATAATGGGGTATTAAATGTAATTATTCATAATGAACCGAATATATCACTGTTTTGTCGAAACGGTACTGTTTCGATCGAAACGGTTCGAAACAATGCCGTTTCGACCGAAACGGTCCGAAACAGTACCGTTTCGACCGAAACACTGGAATTTTGTGATTCAACTACTGTTTCGTTTCGGAGTGTTGAAATTCCGAAACGTTTCGGACGTTTCGGATGTGTCGACACGACATTTTGATCCTTGGAAGCACCATGCGCATTAAGCTTCATCATACATTCAGGTGGAGGCTCCCATTTAATCCACTTGANGTAGTTACTTAGAGAAACTCCATATGTGACATAAATATGATGACAATAGTTACTCCACATCATATTATTACAGTAATATAATCCAATTAATAATACTATTTTATTATAATACTAATAATGAAGGGTATCAAATTAAATTAATGATACTTATGTATACTTAAAAATTAAATGTAATTGCAGTGGGTATTAAATGTAATTACAGTAGGTATTAAATATAATTACATTAGGGTATTAAATGTAATTGTTAATACTTATAACAAAAAAAAAAGCAAAAAACTTGCACAGCAGTAAGGTATTAAATATAATTACAGTAGGTATTAAATATAATTATAATGGGTATTAAATATAATTATAGTAGGGTATTAAGTTTAATTATTTATTCTTATAACAAAAAAATTATAAAAGACAGAAGAGCAGTGGGAATTAAATGTAATTATAGTGGGATATTAAATATAATTATAGTGAGTATTAAATGTAATTACAGTGGGTATTAAATGTAATTATAATGGGGTATTAAATATAATTATTCATAATAAACCGAATATATCACTGTTTTGTCGAAACGGTCCGAAACAATGCCGTTTCGACCAAAACGGTCCGAAACAGTACCGTTTCAACCGAAACACTGGAATTTTGTGATTCAACTACTGTTTCGTTTCGGAGTGTTGAAATTCCGAAACGTTTCAGACGTTTCGGATGTGTCGACACGACATTTTGATCCTTGGAAGCACCATGCACATTAAGCTTCATCATACATTCAGGTGGAGGCTCCCATTTAATCCACTTGACTCTGGTCACCACAGAAAAGGGAGATCCAATCTTAACCTCATGCAGCCATTCCTTTCCCCTATAATCATCCCCTCTCTTAGGCTTAATCATAAAAGCCTGCCACCTTAATGCACTAACCACCTGAAAATATAAGGCATATGCATTTAATTTCAACCCCTCAAACCTTCTTCTACACCTCTCCTTCCATAATGCCCAAAAAATCAGCATAGACACTCCTCTAATCAAACAATGACTCAGAGAATGAGCTTTAAAACTCCTCAACAATCTCGGAAATCTGCACATGGCAGATTCTCCTACAAGAATCTCAAAACCCATAACAGCAGACACCCTTCTCCACACAGCAAGGAGCAACTAATAAACAGGTGGGAAGCACTTTCCTCCTCCTCACAACAAAGACTACACCTTTCAGGTTGGATAATTAACCACAATTTTGTGAATAATAACTAACATTACTTGAGCAACATATAAAATAACCCATACACAACAATATTTCATTCAAACATTCCTTCCATGGAACTACAATCATAAATTTTATTGCAGGTTATATATAAATTTCGTTTACAACACACACACATCCATGAGAGCCAAAACTCCAAGCCTAAGGTTTTTTACTGTCAATACATAAATATCAATAGCCTTGGATATGTATCTCATACGAATCAATTCTGTACTTTATATTTCAAAATTCTAGCCCAATAAGTCTCTTGAAACTTTGAAGCTATATAGCATGGCAAAAAACCTTGATCCTGGGTGTGGGTGGCGTCAAAAACTTAAGTGGCCACTTGTGAAGTTCATGCAGAAGCAGTTAGAAGAACAATTTGAACTGAAAATTTTCTGCATATTACTAAAATAAAAATACTAATATGGTTGCTCAATTTTAACGGAACATATGATTGTTCATCACAACTATTTTCTAAGCCACATCCAAGTTGTTAATGTGGATATAGAAAAGGGAAAAACAACATGAGTGGAAGCCTTTACAAATGGTGTTCATAAAATGTAAATGTTTGTACCAGTTTATGATGGAAAGCACAAAAGTCTCGAATAATTTGAGAGATTCATTTCCACAAACTAGAAGATCTCCTATAATTTTACAAAGTACTATTCATACACTAAAAGATCTGGATTTCTCGGCTATGAGCTTTATCAGTGGTCACAACAGCTGTACCTAACCAACAGATCCTTCAAGCTTCAAGCTCATGAGCTGGTTCACTTCAGCACCAAATTCATCAGGTAGCTCGTTGAAGACATCCCTGCAAAACCCAGAAATCATGGCAGCCATGGCTTTTTCATAGTCGATCCCTCTCTGCTGGAAGTAGAACAGCTGATCTTCACCAATTTTGGAAGTGGTAGCTTCATGCTCAACACGGGTTGTGTGGTTCTTCCCCTGTGAAAAAATGAAAGCAACAAACAAGAGTCCAACAGAAGTCCCTCTTTATATAGACAATTGAGTAAAAGCAAGGTGCATTGACCAAAAGAAATTGTGTTAAATACTGAAAAAGCAATCTTGACAACATCCGTCAGCCCAATTAGTAATCTCAACCGCAGTTTTCTATATTTTTCCCTCATCATTCATATTTGTTTCCCTAAAATAAAAAAGAATCTACACAAATCATAAATTGGAGACACTGGCAAAAACACCTACAGGGAAATCGGCATATGATGGAAGATAGTAAATAGATAAGCAAGGAAGTGAATGAACAGATAATTCCAACATGTATGCCTAAACACGATAGATTATTTTCTACGCAAAATCAAGTTATCATTTCAATGATGATTTCAACTTCCTTCAATGCTTATATGATTATCAAATTACAAGCATCTCTATAGTGACGTTTCTCGGACAGGTTAAATGGGTAGGCAACGTACTCAATGCCTTAGTAGCTTGTTGACCCTGCATGGTTTGGCCAAGACATTCAATGGTCATAATTTTATCATCAATTATCCTAACTCTAGGCACTCAAAATTTTCCACATCTATACTACTTTAAAATATCAGCATATTTGAAAAGAAAAAAAATTTCTACTTCTACCCTTCAAAATCATAGCTATGTCATTTTTATCCCTCAAAATTAAAGGTGGCGTAAACCTTTTTTCTCAATTAAACCTATATCATCACACTGCCTCCTCAAATTCTGATGTTACAATTATTTATTCTCTTCCCTTCCCTGCGTATTCAGGAGTCTGTGAAGACCAACCAGCCGCACGATCCTCTCTTCAACCAGCCACACAAGCCCTCTCTGCATCTTCCCCCCTGAGTCTCCTGTGTATTCATCTCTCCCCTTGCGTATTCTAAACTCTTAAAAACAATCAGGTGAAGAGTTACCCATCAATTCATCTTTTCTTAACTACCCAACTTCTCTGTTTTTTTTTTCTTAATGCCTTTTCTGTGGCTATACAGATTCCAATAGTTAATTTGCAAGATTGCAGTGAATGCACCAGTAACCGATTAGAATAGCAAGAGTTTCAATTTTGGAAATTTTCCACCTTTTATATTCAGCATTGTTGTCAGTTCACACACTTCTCCTTCCCTTCTCTCTCTTAGACGCACACACATTGTCTTGCTGAAAAAAATTGTGCAACCATTGTACTGCTTCCACAGGTACTAAATTTTTGCTATAAATCTTTTCCCTATTCTCTGTCTGGCCTTTTCATACATTGGTTTTGTTTCCCCTCTGCTGTTTTATTTTTTGTTCTTTCATTGTCCTTTATGTACTCATGTTTGATTGGTTCATATGAATAGGTTTTGGTATTTTTATAATGTTTGTACAACTAAAGAAGATAACTACAGTAACATGGCTTATGTTTAGGTGGGATTGGGCTGCCCTTACAGACAGGTTACACAACTATAGTGGCAGAGTTTAGTGGCTTGCTTTCTATTTTTAATTCAACAGTATAGGCATAGCAGATATGATGATGTTTGATATTTAGACAGCTTAAATTCTTTAGAATACCTGAGGATACTAATCAAATGGCATGGAGCAGTTATTTTTTGTTCCTTAAAGGTATTAAAGTGATAGCATTGATTGTGCTGGAATGTCCTTGCTGGATCTCATCTATCCTTAAAGAGTTTTTTTTTCTTTTGAGTCTATGTTTGGACATGAATTCTCTTATTGTTCATTTACATTGTTCAGGAGATAATCCTTAACAATTTCTAAGGATTTTATGGTTGGAAAACTTGCTCTTATTCCTAACGAATATCCAACTTTCAATGATTGGGAGGTTCATCTGGGAACCATATATCCTGAGGTTTCACAACTGCATTTGAGATTAATTTGCAGAAATCCTTGATTGCAATGATGTCACTATAAAAAAATATGTAACCATATATATTCGTGATGATACTGATGAACATGTACCAATGACACTCTTTACTTTCAAGTTAAGATTAAAAGATTTAAATTCTTAGAGATGAGGGGTACTGACAAAGGACCTTTGAGGAGTTTATGTGCACTCCCTGCATTTTGGGTGTGTGGCCTCTTTCATTTATGTAACAAACTGCTTTAATGTCTTAATTATTGGAACATTTTTTTGATCTTTTGCAAATATTTGTATTTTTGCAGGCTGTTATACCAACGCAACCACCATTGTTGTTTAGTTTGTGTTAAATACTATTATTAATGCTTAGTTCCTTCCTGAGAATTAGTTCACTATGATGTTAAAAATTTCAGGTGGGTCAATTATAAGATGAGATTTTCTTACAAAATGTTCTGCACATGACAGCTGATTAGACCTCGGAAGAAGGAGAGCTGTTGAGGAATAAGATAATCTACCCATATTGAGATGGGCCATCCGAAGGCCGGTACACTTAATTATACTTATTACTGTTTAAGTCCATCAAGGAAAGTATTTTAAAAGAAGTCTAATAGTGAGAAAAAAAGACTACGCTATCCTTCAAAGAAATACTCTAGCTGTCTAACCGGATTAGGAAACACATAATCCCATCTTTTTTATTCACAGCAAAATAAAAATTCCCATGAACCCATTCACTCATTTAACGTTAGAGAGAGTTTTTTTTTTTGCTATGACTTCTATTCGGTCATGCACAATTCTCACTGGTTTTACTTTTTTTTTTTTTTGAAAAAGTGAAATTTTATTCCATGAAACAAAATTTACAAGAAGCAAATAGGATCAAACCAAATTGGCTTAATCCTTCAATACACTCTATAATCCAAAAATTTACATCAATGAAATTTCAAAAATCTCAAAATTGCAAAAAGGAAATTCAGATAAATTTCCTCTTCTTCCTCAGCAGCTAAAGCACTTGCTAGTCATACAATAACAGCAGCCTTGCCTGCACAGACTGCTCTTGGATAAAACCAGATCAGACTCCAATTCAGAGCTCCAATCATCTCCAGCACAGCAGCATATCGGCACTGCAGCACCATAGCTCAGCAGCTTAACAATGCAATATGGCAAAGCTGCACAGCAGGTAGACCAATGCAGTCAGCACCTCACAGCACCAGCTAAGCACTTTACTTGCTCTATCCAACACCAGTATCCTCCTTATACTCACAAACCAACTTCTTCTTAGTACGCAACACAGGGAGTCCCCTACTATCCTGCATCAATACCATTCTGACTACAGCAGGCAGAAAACCAGCACTAGACAGATCAGAAGAACTTCTGTCCAGTACTGCCTTATTAGCTAGGCAGTCTGCTACCATATTTGACTCCCTACAAATATGCCTCAGCTGATACTCCAAATTTCCTAGTAACATCTTTATTTGATCTAAGAATCTCAAACAATGCCATGCACAGCCACCTTTCCCCAACATAGCATTTACCAAAACAAGGGAATCTGATTCAATTAAAACTTTATTCCCCTCCAAACCATATGCCTTTAATAATTCCAACCCATCCAGAAGAGCCCTAAACTCAGCCACCATTTTAGTTCCCTCCCCATAATAAAAGGAGCCAGCTAATACAACAACACCCCAGTCATTTCTCAGCACAACACCTCCACCTGCAGGCCCTGGGTTCCCCTTTGAGGCCCCATCTACATTAAGCTTAAGCCNTTTATTCCCCTCCAAACCATATGCCTTTAATAATTCCAACCCATCCAGAAGAGCCCTAAACTCAGCCACCATTTTAGTTGCCTCCCCATAATAAAAGGAGCCAGCTAATACAACAACACCACAGTCATTTCTCAGCACAACACCTCCACCTGCAGGCCCTGGGTTCCCCTTTGAGGCCCCATCTACATTAAGCTTAAGCTAACCACACCTAGGCCTTTCCCAACAAATCCACCTAGCAAAAATCTCCACATGAAAAGACACCTTAATTTTGAGCCAGTATAAAAGACCCATATCAGCTCCAAATCCTTTACCTTAGCTTTTACATTTCTCCCTTGATATCTCAAAATACTACAGATTTTAAGATAAATGGAGAAAGAGTTTAAACAACCTTCCCCTGCCACCCTTCTACACCTCTCTTTCCAAACCTACCAATAAACTAACAATGGCATGCTTCTGACTAAACCATGAACAATAGATGACTTCTTAAAGATCCTTCCCAATCTTCTAAATCTTACCAGTGGGCCCTCACCTTCAATCAACTGAAAACCCACCAGTCAGCCAACCTTTTCCAAATAGCAAAAGTATAAGGACAACCAACAAATAAATGCTCAAAACTCTCAACATGCTGAAAACACACAGAGCATCTACTCACAATAGGAAATCCAAGCTTCTGCACATTCAAATCAACAGGAAGGGCTTCTTTCAAGATTTTACACCCCACCAACTGATCACTAGGGGCTGTTTTAACACTCCAAATCATAGAAGCAGTCAAATCTTTCTGCCCCCTCTGCCTACACTCTTGCCAAGCTGGCTTAATTGAGAACATCCCAGAATTTGATCCCTGCCATATCAACATATCAGGTTCACCATTTAACAACACACCAGAGTCCAAGACCTCCTGAATAAGTTGTTCAGATAACAATTCCTCCACCTCCCCTAACCTCCATTGAGTATCTAAAACAAGGTCAGATAATTTAGGAAAAGACTAAGGAAGAACATCAACCCTAATCAACAAAGGCCCATTTCCTAGCCAATTGTCACACCAAAAGTCAGTGCAGCTTCCATTTCCCACCACTATTTTAGATTGCCCCACCACCTTCTCAAAATAGGGCCTCAGCATCTCACAACATTTAAAATGACTCCTCCCAAGATTTCTCAATACATGATTACCTTTTAAAAACTTGACAGAGAAAACTTGAGCCCACAAAGAAGAACCCTGTAACACTCCCCAAACCTGTGTCATTCTAAAAGCCACTTCAACCTCCTCAAACTTTCTCATACCCATACCCCCTTCCTCCTTATGCATAGATACCTTTCCCAAGGATACCCAGTGCCTTTTCCTAACATCACCTTTGTTAGAACAAACAAACTGCGCCATGAGGGAATTAAGTTTATGCAACACAGCTTTAGGCAAGTTTAAACAGGCAATTAAATGAATAGGCACAGAACACAGTACATGCTGAACCAAAACCAACCTGCAATGTTAGAAAGCAGTCTAGAATACCAACCTTCCAGTCTCTTTCTGAACTTCACAATAACCTCCTCAAAATCTCTTATTCTCATTCTCCCCTTGATAATAGGACAGCCCAGATAGGTAGAAGGACACTGCTTGATTGGTATAGCAGCCACATCAGTAAGAACATGCCTCCTACCCAGAGAAATATGCTTAGAACAAAACATAGAACTTTTCTGCTAGCTACCTTTTGGCCAGAACTCAGCTCAAAAGCCTGAATGAAACCAAACAAATTCTCAAAAGACTGTTTATATCCCCTTAAAAAGATCAAGGTGTCATCTATAAACAGCAAATGACTAACCAATGTAGATACTCTCCCCAAATGAAAACTTTTAACCAAACCATCCAAATACAACTTCCTTAAACCCCTAATCAGAACTTCTTCAGCCAATATAAACAGACAATGAGAAATGGGATCTCCCTGCCTCAACCCCCTGGAAGTAGGAAAAAAACCTATTCTCCTTCCATTCACACAAACAAAAATGAACTGATTATTCAAACAATTAGCAACAACTTTTAAAAATAGCTCACAAAATCCAAACTTCCCCAAAACCTTTAATAAGAAATCCCACTCCAACCTATCATATGCTTTCATCATATCAAACTTTAGCAGTACATTACCAGCTACAACTTTTCTGTCCAACTCTCCAAGCATCAGCTGAGCTAGAAACACATTCACTAATGTTCCTCCCCTTCACAAAGCCATGCTGCTCAGATGAAATCAGACTTGAAAGCTATGTTACTCGGACACAGGTGCGGGTATTGGGTGCGGGTGTGAATTTAGGTGTCTAATATCTCAAGTCAAAAAATAGTAGATACGAGGGTATGGATCCAGATTTGGATATGGGTACGGGGATACGGTCTAATTTTATTAATATTAAAATTATTGTATACACAATTTATACACACAAATATTTAATAAATAAGGTATAATTAATAAAATGACTTGAAGTCATTTAATATACCAATTTAACAAATAATAATAACATAAAAGAATAATTACAAAAAAGAAAAAAAATAATGAAGGGTATTAAATGAAATTAATGGTACTTATATATGCATAAAAATTACAAGTTATAAAGAAGTGGGGTATTAAATGTAATTTTTCATAGTTACAACAAAAAAAAAAAATACAAAAGCCAAAGATCAATCGGCTCCCTCAGTCACCCACAAACACAAACAGAAACAGAGACAGAGAGAAGAGAGGCGATGGGCGGGGCGAGGCAATGCGATGCCGATGCCGATGCCGATGCCGATGCCAATGCCAATGCCGGTGAGAGAGAGAGAGAGAGAAAAGAAAAAGAAAATACTAGGTAGCTCGTGGGGTCACAGTTCGCAACGATGAAGACCTAAGTCTCAAGCCCTATATCTGCGTGGTTGGAGGCTAGATCTGCTCAAATCTGGACTCAAAGAGGTAAGCTACTGTACTCTTTTCCTTCAATTTCTGCTGTATAGTTTGTATCTGTGTTTTTCTCTCTCTCTTTGATTTTGTCTGGGTGTGCCTTTCTCTCAATCTTCTCTCTACTTTTTTTTTTTTTTGCTTGGAAGATTTGGACTTGTGTACCAGCCATGTCTAGAATAAAGTTACTGCACCGAACACAAATCCCGCACCCGCACTCGTGTCGGATCGTGTCGACACGGGTATTCCCACAAAAGAGGCGAGTTCGAGTAACATAGCTTGAGAGCAAAGGAGCCATCCTAGAGACCAACTTAGTAAAAACTTTATAGAGAAAATTATATAAGCTAATTGGCCTAAATTCAGCAAAAGATCCTAGATTAACCTTTTTGGGAATCAAGGTTAACAAAGTTGCATTAACACACCTTGGAACAATACCTCCCTTCAGAAAAAAATTAACAACAACAACCATATCAAATTTAATAACCTCCCAAGCAGCCTGGTAAAACTTACAAACCATCAGCTCCAGGTGCACTATGCACAGACATGGAGAAAACATCATTAACCTCCTCCATAGTAGCCTCTTTCAAAAGCTCTGTATTAACCTCCTGATCCACCATCCTAGGAATCACAGAAATCAGCTCCTCATCCACCACATGCTGCTCAGACATATACAAATTAGAATAAAATTGCTCTGCAACCCTCCCAATGTCCTCATCAGAATATACCCAATCCCCATTAAGATTTTGAATTATAGCCACCTTATTCCTAACTGCTTTACCCTTAGCAAGAGTATGATAAAAATTTGTATTCCTCTCACCCTCCATAGCCCATTGCACATTAGCCTGCTATCTCCATTATATTTCTTCCATCCTTAAAACATTATCCAACTCATTTTGAGCTCTTTCTAATTCCTTCATATTAGTCAAAGAGTCATCATCCTCATTCAACTCTTCTGCTCTTTGCACAGCAACCTCTTTCTTTCTGATTTCGTCAAAGATGTTGCCAAACACCTCTTTATTCCATAATTTCAAATGAGCTTTTAAGTACTTCAATTTCAAAAATATATTCTCAATGGGATTTTCAACATAACAACCACCCATTTTTCAGCTACCAATGCTAAAAAACTAGGGTGCTCCACCCACATATTCTGAATCTTAAAGTATGAGATCCTCTGTTTTTGAGAATCCAAAACTTTAAGCAATAAAGGACAATGGTCAGATTCCCTCTCCCCAAATGAACCACGTCATTTTTAGAAAATTTTAAACTCTAGCTTGTATTAATAAGCACCCTATTGATCCTTTGCCACATTCTGGTTGTACCATGGTGATTATTACACCAAGTATACTTACTTCCAAAAAAGCCTCCATCAATCAACCCTGCCTCACTAATAAAATCTCCAAACTCCTCCATAGCAACCATAGAAAGAAAAGCCCCACCCAATCTTTCCTCAGAATTCAAAATAGAGTTAAAATACCCAACCACCATCCAAGGGCAATTAACCGAAATTGGAAAACTCAGTAAATGCTGCCACAAAGTCATCGTTAAAGCATGGTCACAACATGCATAAATGACAGATAGAATCACCACATCAGACCCTAGATAAGAAACCTCAACAATTAAGGCTTGCTGAAAATGATACAAGACCTTAACCTTCACCCTATCATCCCACAACAACCATATATGCTTCTCAGCAAGATTATTAAACACAAAATGTGCTAAACCCAAGCTAGAGGTTAAAGCAAGTAACCTTCTAACCTCTAATTTAGGCTCTTAGATAGCAACCATACTAACATCATTCAATCTAATCAACTTTAGCCTTCTTCTTGGAGCAGCTTTCCCCACTCCTCTAATATTCCAAGATAAAAAATTCATCATAAGAATCTAGAAGACATATTACCTCTAGACAGCTGTCTAGTAGAAACCTCCAAAGAAGCTCCATTTGAAGGACTATAGTCTGAATCTTCAGAATTCCCTCTTCTATGCCCCAAACCAGACTCCAAATCATGTTCACACTCTTAGAACTTCCATTATCCGAAACATATCCCTTATCAGGTGGTTCAGTTCTTCTCCCCAGACCAGACTCATCATCTAACACAACTCTAGATCCTCTTCTAGTAGAAAACTGACGATCAACAAGAAAAGAGGAGTTAAGAGACAAAGTACCTTGTTTGTTAAGCATACCGCACTCCTGACCCTCCATTTGCAGCTCCTTTAACACCATGGAAGTGGATTGGTCATCACGAAGATCACCCGCCATATTCTGAACTACTTCCTTATTCCCACCATTCAGAGCCTCATAATTCAACTCATCATCTCCTTGTTTCAACTGTACCGACAAATCCACAACACTCTCTTCGTCCACATTAATAGCCATATTTACCTGCTGACTACACCCATTACCCTCCATCATAACCCCCTCCTTACTTACCTTATCATCCCTAGAAGGCACCAACACCTTCTCCATAGAAATTAACTCAATCTGCTCCATCGAAACACCTTTTCCCTTTTCCAAACCCTTGCTAGCTTGGTCCATCCCCTCAGACAGGGGATTTTGCAAACTACACTGTCCCTTATCAGGACATTCCACAAATCTCCCATTCTGCAGCTGATCCCCATTTGCATCCATTAAGACAGAAAATCTATTCCCCAAATCTTGATTTGTTACAATAGTCTTTTGCCTGAATTCTTTCCTTTGTTTCACTCTCTGCCCCTCTTGCAACACATGCTTCGCCTTATTATTTTGCCAGCCATTTCCAAGATTATTATCTTTCACAGGACTAGCCAACTTCTCCACAACAACCACAACACCCTTACCTTTCTCCATCTTCTCTCCTCCATTTTGCTCTTTATTAGATGACTTCACAACACTCTGAACACCATTAACCTAACCACCCTCATTCTTCTTTTTCCGACAACTCATGATATCATGCCCTTGTTTTAAGTAAGTTGAACAGTACTTCACATCTTTTTCAAAGACAATCTTCTGCCATCAAGCACTCACACCCCCCATATCTAACCAAAACCTCTATGGGTTCTCAGCCAGCAAATTAACTTCCACACATGCTCTAGCCACCCCTGGCCTGGTTAACTGCAAAGTAGTTTTGTCAATAACTAGAATTCAACCAACAAGACTCAAGATATCCCTCAAACTCTCCTTATTAAAGAGATGAATGGGAAGACCTGATAACGAAACCTAGACAGNCTAAAACCTCTATGGGTTCTCAGCCAGCAAATTAACTTCCACACGTGCTCTAGCCACCCCTGGCCTGGTTAACTGCAAAGTAGTTTTGTCAATAACTAGAATTCAACCAACAAGACTCAAGATATCCCTCAAACTCTCCTTATTAAAGAGATGAATGGGAAGACCTGATAACGAAACCTAGACAGGAACTACTGGAGGCTCAATCTTAGGAAAAAACTATGGGAACCATTTCAAAAACCTAAAAAGAAATCCCTCGATATACGTCGCATCCTTTAACCACGTTTTAACAAAATCTTCATATAGCTCAAATCGAATCAATATATGTCAAGGATCCAAGATCCCAACANTATGGGAACCATTTCAAAAACCTAAAAAGAAATCCCTCGATATACGTCGCATCCTTTAACCACGTTTTAACATAATCTTCATATAGCTCAAATCGAATCAATATATGTCAAGGATCCAAGATCCCAACATGAAACTCACCTTTGGGCATTCAACGCGTAATGATAAACTCTCGAATCACCCTTAGCGATGGTTTCCCATATGCACACTTTCCAATTAGAGTCTGATGAAACTTAGCAGACAAATCCTGAGTCTCCTCTGCTGACCAATACATTCTTGGTTCACCATTGTTATATACCACTCTTTTTGCTGCTTTAGTACCACTTATCCCAGACACTAGAAGCTTCTCAGATTCTCGCACAACTCTGGAAGAGTCAGTGAAAGTACCCACCAATTTTGAAGAATCTAGAAAAACCCCTTTCTCTTGATCCATAGAAAAAGGTTTACCAATCCCAACAAATTGAATCGATGCAAGATCTTGGCCAATCGAGTCAAATCGAACAGCCAAATCATCTGAATTAGACGAAGAAACATTAACATTCGATATTCCCTAACCAATCGAAAACATTCGAACAGTTGAAGGGTATTGAGTAATCGAGGGAATTTGGGTAATCGAAGGAACTTCGACAATTGAAGTATTCTAAATTGATGAAGGAATATCAGGAGGCATTATAAGATTTTCCACTTGATCAGAACGAATCTCAAACGATGAATTACCATTTCTAAATCCAAAATCAATATCTGAGTTGCTGGACAGTTTCCCGCCATTCAGTGGATTCTTAAACAAAGAGGCAAAATTCCGAGTGATGTCTGGTGATTTAGGAGGAATTGGACGAAACGATTGATCAGAAATCATGAATCAATTTGTTAAGAACAATCATATCTCTCAGAACAAAACAAAAGATTAGAAAATCAAGAAAATTCGATGAAAAATTTCTAGAGAGAAGTCAGAGCTCCTCTCTCTAGAGCCGAATAACTGCTCTACTGGTTTTACTATGTTTTCATTGTTGTTCATCTAAAAAGTATTGTATTTAAAATTAGGTGTTTATTCCAGAAAAATAAAAGAATTTGTTGTTTGAAATTTAGGGATTTTAGATTAAGAAGATGTACAATTTGGGCTGAGGGCCATACATTCTAATTGAATAGGATGTGGGTCGATACGAAATTGCTTATTCCACTGAGAATAGTTGATGTATGATTTGGTTCATAGTTAATACATAAGAGTTTGATGGTCTACGATTTTAGGTATTAGACTTCGCTTTTGTTTATTGTTGGTTTTCACGTATATTCATTGTTCATGTCAAAAAATGTCTATATGAGTGTTGTTATACAAGTTATGGCAATTTGGTNCGAAATTGCTTATTCCACTGAGAATAGTTGATGTATGATTTGGTTCATAGTTAATACATAGAATTTGATGGTCTACGATTTTAGGTATTAGACTTCGCTTTTGTTTATTGTTGGTTTTCACGTATATTCATTGTTCATGTCAAAAAATGTCTATATGAGTGTTGTTATACAAGTTATGGCAATTTGGTGTTGCTTTCTCCGATGAAGTCAACTACGCTGCACTAAAGACCCGAGTCAACAAGCATTTTAGCACGTTCAACTATATCTTTGTACATGATTAAGCAAAAATGGATAGTATTGTCCAGAAATTNTTCTTTCTCCGATGAAGTCAACTACGCTGCACTAAAGACCCGAGTCAACAAGCATTTTAGCACTTTCAACTATATCTTTGTACATGATTAAGCAAAAATGGATAGTATTGTCCAGAAATTGTTGATAAAGCTTCATAGTAAGGTCGTAGTACAAAACACCAACTAGCAGGGAAATAACATCAATGTTGAAACAATGTGCTTAACTTCTTTTAGTCTCCCTATGTGTATGTGAATGTATGTGGAGCAGAGACATGAATCTTTGCCAATTGGCAGGTTTTGTTTGATTTTGGTTTGTTTGTTCTGTTAGCCGATGTATGGACAAACATAGTGACATTTTATGCTATATTGGTGGGAGCATACCCTTCTGAGGACCAAGAAAATCCAAAAAACTTCGAGAAAACACTTCTGCTTGGGTTTTCTGAATATTTTCTTTTGGAGGAAAAGTATAAGATACTTCTTATTGGTTTGACCCAGCAACATATTACCAGGGTTCAAACTATCGGCCGAGACCGATACGACTCTGCCGAGTCGTATCTGTCTCGACCATGACCGATCCGATATCGATACACGATACATAATTATCACGAGTCATCCATGACTCGGCAATGAATCAGTTATAAATCGATGGTATCGGCTNCAATATCGATACATAATTATCACGAGTCATCCATGACTCGGCAATGAATCAGTTATAAATCGNCGATATCGATACACGATACATAATTATCACGAGTCATCCATGACTCGGCAATGAATCAGTTATAAATCGATGGTATCGGCTCGACTTGGACTTATATCGTTTGAATCGGGCGAGTTACATTGAACTCGAACCGATACTGGTAGAAACTTCAGCAAAATCTCCAAAGTCAAAATAGTAAAGGAAAAAGGAAATGGAGAAGAAGATCTGAAACTCAAATGGACATTTTTCAAACCCTAAGTTAAAAAAAATCACAAGCAAATTCGCCCCCTTTTGCAACTTCAGAAATAGAAGAAAAATTNCAAACTGATACTGGTAGAAACTTCAGCAAAATCTCCAAAGTCAAAATAGTAAAGGAAAAAGGAAATGGAGAAGAAGATCTGAAACTCAAATGGACATTTTTCAAACCCTAAGTTAAAAAAAATCACAAGCAAATTCGCCCCCTTTTGCAACTTCAGAAATAGAAGAAAAATTAAAATAATTGTAAGACATACCTGTTAAAATCGAAGACACCAAAAGCCTTAGCATCATCGCAGAAGCCCCCTCTTTCTTCTTCTTCATCATCGCAGAATCCCTAGCATCGCAGATGAGTCAGAGACTTAGATCCCTCCCAGATCCCTCTCAGCAAGCCTTCAGCGACCAGCATCGACTCCCAGACCCCAATCGTGTCTCTCTCTCTCTCTCTCTCTCTCTCATATGTTCTCGGTTCATCGATGAGTCTAAGTCTGTCTCTTGCGTATATTCTCAGTTCGTTGTTGCGTAGAATATGTGAGGATTTGACCATATAAGGAATGAGACTCAAAAATATAGTTGACTCCCCCTTTTTTTCTCTTTTCTCTTTTGGTTCCCAATAGTCCCACAATTCAAACCGTTTTGGTCCAATTTTTTTAATTATATAATTTTTAGTATTTACCATATAATATAATTAGAATTTAACTTATTAAGTTTTCTTTTGTATATGTAATGGAAGATTTAATAATTAAATATACATAATGAAAAAAATACATTTAATTTTTAGTTAGATATACATTAAATAATTAAATGAAGAATTTATTTATAAGTAGATTTTCATTTTTAAAGCTATTAAGTTAACCATATATATACACTTATATATTTTTATAATTTTTAAAAATTACAAGTTAAATTATATTAATATTGAACATAGATGATGACAAATATTTTCTGTTAGCACCCTTATTATTCTTTTTTGTAATGATTAATGTGTTAAATAATGCCTTTTGGGGATATGATGCATGCATGATGATATTTACNCTGTTAGCACCCTTATTATTCTTTTTTGTAATGATTAATGTGTTAAATAATGCCTTTTGGGGATATGATGCATGCATGATGATATTTACATTTATTACAATTTTTTCTAATTTTTCTAAATTTTTTGAGCCTTCTATATAGCGTTTTGAGCGTATCGGCCGATACAACGCCGCGATGCCGTGACCAATGTGTCTCAGTGGTCCCCGAGTTAAAGGGCTGATACCGCGACCTTGAACCATGCATATTACCTTCCTACCTTGTAAAACCTACACTTAACCTCTTGTGATCTTATCCCAAATCAAAACCGTTAGGAATTCTTTTAAAGTTAACAAGGAAAGGTTAAAATTCAATATTTTTAATATAACAACATATTTGGATAATTTCATTACTCGGCTTCATACTTTGAGATAGTTCTTTCCATTTGTTAACTTTGGGAAGAAAATGTGTTATGTTCTCATCCCTTTTTCTCAATAGTTGATTGATTTAACTTCATTCTTCTATTTTACTTGGTCAAAAGGATGACCTGAGGTATAAAATGCAAAGCCAATGCACTAATTTGGTGTCAATGTGATAATTTTCCTTTTTTATAGTATGTGATACAGTTTTAGNTGAGGTATAAAATGCAAAGCCAATGCACTAATTTGGTGTCAATGTGATAATTTTCCTTTTTTATAGTATGTGATACAGTTTTAGCAGAGGGTGACTTCAAGGATCAAAATATCGTTTCGATGTATTGTTTCGGTCACCTAAGAAACGAAAACGTTTTAACGTGTTTTAGAAACGTTTCGACTCGTTTTGGAAACATAATGAAAAAAATAAAAAAATTAAAAATTATTTTTCTAAAACATTGATGAAAATATATCAAAATATCTTGAAATATTTTGAAACATTGCAAAATAATTATGCAAATGTATTGAAATATTATAATACATTTAAAAACATTATGAAATACCTCGAAATATCAGAATTTCGATTTCATCACTGTTTCGTTATGGTCTCTTTGGAAACGAAAATGTTTCGGACGGTCTTTTTTGAAACAAAAACGTTTCAGACGTTTCAACCATTTCAAAACGATATTTTGATCCTTACCGTGCCTTCAACGATGAAGAGAGAGAAAGACAACTCTTACTCTTGCATCACAAAGAACTAATTATACATCCCAAACTCTAATCACAATGCTTACGGTGAAAGAGGACTACTTAAATTTTTTTTATCCTTTGGTAAAGATTGCAATGAATAATTACCTTTTGAACAAAACTCAAGCTATTACAAGCTATCTTAGGAATGATTTTCAATTATGTGTCTTACTACTCTGTCTTGCTATCTTTTGGTAGTTTTTTTTTGATTTTAAATTTAATCTGACTTTTCATGATTTTTACCGTTGGAAGTATTATTATTCCAATCAGGGATTGAAATTGTTTGTCCAAAAGATTATAATAGTTGGTCCAACATCATCTTTCACATGTACTTTTGGAACATTTTATGACAAGCCTTTTTTTTCATATACTTCTTCTCCTTTTACCCCATGTTGTAGAGTGTGAGCCTTAAGTAGTCTTTGGGTGGTTAAGTATTTTAGGTTGGTCAACAATGCCTTAGCTTTTTATGATATTTAGTCCTATATTCTATTAGCCCTGAGAATCAATTTATTTTTGTGTTGTTATTCCTTTAGGATTTTCTATGTGTAGGATTTTTAAAATCTTGTAATTTAAGGTTTGTTTAACCACTCAATTTTTTCGCAAGGTTTAACCATTATTTTTTTGTTATGTACTAGGAACCCATTTATGAAAAACAAACACGTCATGGATTGTCTTGCCTGGTTTTGTTCGTTATCTCTTTTTCCCAAGTTACAAGATATGGTTATTTACCAAAGATAACAATGACCATTCCGCAACCAAAAGGACGAAAGATGGGAATGACCATTCCATAGTGACGATTACTAATTTATGTTAGGGCCTATTAAGGGCTTAATCATAACAAAACTCCTTGTAAATAGTCCACGTGCAACAACTAGTTATCACAAAAGGATACATGGTACTGGAAGACCTTGATCCCAAATTCGATGGGCAACATATGATACAATAATTATTCGAACACTGTCACAATTCACAACAAAATGAGTCTGTCCATATGGTTTGAAATCTCTTAATTGGAAGTGTACATTGTTCATTACACAAATAGTCAAATATTGACTGTAGATATCATCTAGTATGCAGCATAAGCACTTTCTATTTCCAAGGCCACAGATCATGCCATAACAGGAACAACTTGACAATCCATGCACTATGCAAAGCTGAAACTTGATAAGAAATGGGTCTAGGATCTAACACATTAAGGGAAAACTTTGCACTCAATTTGGAAGCTAGGCACAATTAGAAAATTGAATGACGAAGGTAGCAACAAAAATATCAAATTAAACCATTAAGCATGTGTTGACCAAAAAACCAGAAAGCATGTGACAAGTTCAACAAGAAAACCTGAATGTCCGGATAAGTGTTGGCAGCTGCATTGTCACCAATGAGCATTGAATCACATTGTGAGGAGTTTCGAGCATTATCTGCATTTGAAAGAATCTGAACAAGGCCCCTATAAGTATTTTTCGAATTTCCAGCTGAAATGCCCTTTGAAATAATCCTACTTCTAGTATTCTTCCCCTTGTGTATCATCTTCGTCCCAGTGTCTGCCTGTTGATAATTATTAGTCAATGCAACAGAATAGAACTCACCCACAGAATCATCACCCTCCAAAACAACACTCGGATACTTCCAAGTTATAGCAGAACCCGTCTCTACTTGTGTCCACGATATCCTCGACCGAGCACCAGCACAAAGCCCCCTCTTGGTAACAAAATTATAAATCCCTCCCTTCCCTTCCTCATCTCCAGCATACCAATTCTGCACTGTAGAATACTTAATTTCCGCACCCTCGTGACAATACAATTCAACCACTGCAGCATGGAGCTGATTTGTATCATAAGAAGGTGCAGTACACCCCTCCAAATATTCTACAAAACTTCTCTCATCAGCAACAATCAAAGTCCTCTCGAATTGCCCCGTTTCCATAGCATTTATCCGAAAATAGGTAGAAATTTGCATTGGACACTTAGTATCTTTAGGTATATACACAAATGAACCATCACTAAACACAGCTGAATTCAGTGCCGCATAATAATTATCATTCGGAGGCACAACTCTCCCCAAATACTTCCTGATTAAATCTGGGTATTCCCTAATTGCCTCGGATATGGAACAAAATATCACTCCAGCTTTCTCTAAAATTTTTCTATGAGTTGTAGCAATTGAAACACTATCAAGAACAGCATCAACAGCAACATTAGCCAAGCGATTTTGCTCATTTAAAGGAACACCCAGTTTATCAAAGTACCTAACAAGCTCAGGATCAGCCTCATCAAGACTATTCAAGGTCGGTTTCTTTTTTGGCTCAGAATAATAACACATATTTTGGAAATCTATCGGAGGGTACTCAATATCAGCCCATTTAGGCTCAACTTTTCTGCAGAATTTCTCATAAGATTGCAATCTAAATTCAAGCATCCAATCGGGTTCATTTTTTCTTGCAGAAATCAACCTAATTGTCTCCTCATTTAGACCTTTCGGAATCGTAAAAGAATCAATTTGTTCTGAAAAACCCCATTTATAGTCCCTTTTGAGGAACTTATGAAGTGGGTCTTCCTCAAGTGGGGTTGAAATTGAAGGCTTACCTGTTTGGAGGTCCGAGTCGATCATCTTAGGTTCGTAACCAATTGCACTGGTCTTGAAAACTCTCGAATTAGGTTTTTTGGGGTTTGAGGATTTGAAAAATTCGAGCTTTGGGTAAAACCCTTTTGTGATTTTGGGATTTTCGGTGACGGGTTGTGGATAGAATTGAGAAATTCCGTTGGCCAGAAGAGAAGCCATGGCTGTGGTTCAGAGACGGAGAAGCTCAAATTTTATTTATTTATTTATTTTTTATAGTTTCTGGGTTTCCTGTAGAAGAGTCGAATACTGGGGAAAGATGATGACTGAATAGGGTAGGTAGATAAAGACGAGAGGAGGGAAATAGGAGAACAGGTCTATGCTTATCCGGGAATAAGTAGGGAGTTTGCCTTGTGTTTTCGGAAGGTTGGAGTTGCCTTGTTGTGGGGAGCGGATCCTCTGTTGTTCCAAAAGAACAGCACATTGTGCTGTTCACGGTAAAGTTTTGTGAGGTAAGACACCAGCAATTGTAATCCTTTTTTCCACCGGTCAAAATTGAAAGTTTTTCAAATAAAAACATTAAATTAGAAAAACGTACGATTAAAATTTATATTCCATTATGGTATTGAAAGTTTATTTTTAGAATTAATTAGAGTACTGAAAAAATATTTTTTTGGTACAATATTTTAGATTCTCTAATGAAAAAATGTGACTCATTCAAAATTTTCTTATTTTATCACAAAATGCAAAATAATGACAAAATATGGTATCATACTTTAATTTTTTATCCAATAAAAATGTGATACATGTAAAAATTTTATATTTTTTTTTACAATTCACATTTGAATTCATTAACATAAAAAAAAATTATATTTGAATTTGTTAAAATAAAAACTTCAAATTTGAATCTGTAAAAATAAAAAATTTAATCTGATTTGAATAACTTTGAAATAAAGTTTTAGCAAATTACATCATAATTTTGACACAATCTCATCAAATAATTATTTTATTTTATACATATAATTCAGGTCAGATAATAATCTTAATAAAAATTAGATACATTCTATATCCAAAATTGTAAATTGAAATATAATCAATTAATGTTCGGAATCGAATTTGAAATATAATAAATTTACTTTCGGACCAGTTCAATTTTTTTATTTTTAATGGATTCAAATATGTGTTGTAAAAATAAAATATAAATATTGTACACAACCCACAATTTTATTGGATGAAAAGTTAAAATATGGTACAATATTTTGTCATATAATTTGAAAATTTTGAATGCATGACAATTTTTTCATTAGAAAAGCTAAAATATTGTACCAAAAAAATAATTTTTTGGTAATCTAATTAATTCCAAAATCAAATTTAATTGAATATAAACTTTAATCATATGATTTTCCAAAGCAAAGCTTTTACTTGAATAACTTATGATTTTGACCAATAGGCATGTCATTACGATTGCCATTTGCTGGTATTCATAAGATGTTGT